CAACACGAATTATGGAGTATTTATCTCTAAATGAGTCGAATACCCATATAAGATCAGGATATGATTGAATTAGCAGAGTCAAAAACTCAAAATTCCCAATTTTTGCAGCAGCAGCATCGTTGGGAACGTTGAATTTTTTCGATTGCAAAAATTGGGAATGTTGAATTTTTTACTCTGCTTATTAAATCATATCCTGATCTTATATGGGTACTCGACTCGTTTAGAGATAAACACTTCATAATTCATGTTGCTGTTATTAACCGACGAGAGAGAGACTTTAGCACCTGCAAGCAGGCTCTTCTACAACTCAATAGGTATTAAAGATGCATTGTTGTACAATAGAGATGATTCCAATAATAACATTTTGCACTTGGCTGCGAAATTAGCACCTGCAAGCAGGTTCAATAGTGTATTCGAAACAGCTCTTCAAATGTAGAGAGAACTATTGTAGTTTAAGGTGAGAAATTAACATAACTATGAAATCTAATTTCCTTACTCCTCAAAGGAAATAGAGACTTTATAGCATGACGGTGAATTGTATCATTTCTTGTTTATCTTGAATATATATCCACGTTCATAGAAGTCTCCAATCTACTATTCTAGATAATACAAAAAATAATTCCCCATGTTAGAGTTAACTTTGGGATGATTGTGCAATATACATTAATTTGAGTAATCTTTATAGGAGGTGGAGAAGATTGTATATCCTTCTATAGTTCAGGAGAAAAACAAAGAGTGCAAAACACCTAGAGAGTTGTTTACGAAGGAGCACGAGAAGTTACGGGAAACTGGTGAAAAGTGAATGAAGGACCCAACAACTTCTTGCATGGTTGTGGGCAACCTTAATTGCCACATTTGTGTTTGCTACGACATTTACCCTACCAGGTGGGAAGAAATAGACGCTCCAATTTTCTTGAAAGGCGGGTGCTCCAATTGTAGATTATGAATTTCACTAATCCACTCAACATAAATTTTTTGAAGCAAAGCAAGGCATATAACCAACAATTTAGCACTGCATATAAAGTGATTGGAAGCAAAGTAAGACCATCAACAATTTTTTGCAATGTCCCTTCATTTTCTTCATCGTAGACCAAAAAGAAGGTTGCACTAAATGTTAAGACCATGCAAACGATTGAAGCAAAGAGCGTAATTAGTCCAACTATCAACTTTGCCGGTAATGTAAATAGAAAACCATCTTCTCCATAGCGTGAAGTTAAGATAGACAAGAACATCAATATGGAAGCTGTCGAGAAAAACATTGCCACTACATAAGATGTAACAAAAATTGTGAACCGCCTGTCTTTCAAGAAAATTGGAGCGCCCGTTTCTTCCTTATTCCCATCTGGTAGGGTAAAGGCTGCAGCAAACACAACTGTGGCAATTAAGGTTGTCACAACCATGCAAGAAGTTGCTGTGTCCTTCATTCACTTTTCACCGGTTTCCCGTAACTTCTCGTGCTCAT